AATTTTTATTTTAGTTCATTAAAGTCTTTTCTCCCCATCTAGTTTTTGTTTTTAGTTTTAGGTAACTAAAATGACCGGGGCTGGCACAGTGAACACACACAGGCCACCTCCACATAGCTGTCAGTGCTCAGTGTGTGAACGTGTCTCTGTAGTTATAAACCTGCAGCTAAACTTGTAACAAACCTGTCACACCTCTGCTTTAACCCTAACCCTAACCCTTATCTGCCGAATCTTTGGTTCCTATGGAACAGCCATAACCAGCCTTACCAGTACTTGCAGTTTAACAAGATGAGACACACCCAGCTCTCTTTGTGTGCTAAAGAGCTCAGACTGTGATCAGATCTGACTGACTAACCCGCAGCAGGGGAACACCTACTCTTTCGTCTTTCAGAGGAATTCCTTTTCTCTGACTTGCACTTTTATTTTAAGAATCATGTTGCTCACATTTGTATGAAAAGACTTACACGCATATGAGCCAGTGTGTTACAGAAGAGGAAACTGGTCAGATGATATGAGAACTGTGCCACACTTGGATCAGTCGTGACCTGATTACATTTCCCAATATTCCTGCCCTCCCCCCAGCTTTTAAAGTGTTCCTTTATAAATCATTGTTTCCTTTCAGCAGTAACGGGATTATTCCCTTTGTCATTTCAGGACTGATGCTTCTTCGGGGACCAAACTGCTATGTTAGTCTTTTTATAATATCATCTGTCGACTAAGTGAGTGTGCCAGTTTTTCTTTTTGTCCTTCTGTTGATGTCTCAAGTACACAAAACCGATGATTCCTGGAAATTAATGTTCTGACAACAAACAGTAGGTCTGCAGGATTTACCCCCATTTTTTTTCCACTCCTGGCCTGTATGGTTTTTCACCACAAGATGGCAGTAATGTCCACATAAAGCAAAAAAACGTGAAGATACTTTCTGTTATGAGAACGAATAAAAATACACAGATCGTTGTTGTCTGTCACTGTCATTTATTTTTGTTTTGGTAAAATAAAAAAGACTTGGACTAAAGTAAATAAACCACTCGAATATTTCTTCTTAAACCGGTGACTTTTATGAATAATAGTTGGGTTTTTATTTTTAAATTTGTTTTTTAAGTAAATGTTTTTTTTATTTAGATGCGTGTACGTATACTAAAAGAAGCAGTTTTCCTGTGAAACTGTGAATTAAAGATCATTTGATGTAAAATGTTAAGTGTTTTCT